TCTTTAAAAAAAGGCCATCCTGAATATAGTCAAAAAGAAGCAACATATGTTTTTTTTTTAAATCCTGTCTCACTTACTTAACAAGAAAAATGTTTCTTGTACTTTGTTTTAAAAAGAAGGAATATTGTCGTAGTTCCAGGGAACAGGAAAGGCTTCCTATCGATATTATGTTTTCACAAAATACTGGAACCAGACGTACTTTATCTGGCATCTTCCTGAAACCTCAGAGCTGGTCAGGCCATTCACAAGCTCCCGTGAATGCTGTGTGAATTGGGACTTTTGTTGCTTGCAATGCCATGGCATCGTACCAATGGCCGCTATGGAATGCAAGCCTCACTGTGACTGGCAAGAGAGAGGGAGAGGGGGAGAGGGAGAGAAACACAGACTGCCAGAGCGGGGTATTAAAGATAAGCCAATCCACTGTTCGCTTCAGAGAATATATTTAGCTGGAAACTTTTTGGTGGTGGCAGACGCCAGTACAGCAGCACAGAGAAGAAATCTAACTCAATTATCCAAATAACAAAACCCAAAATGAAATTCATTCATTCAGGATTTTTTGCTTATCAAAAATGAAGACTGAAGAGAAGGGATAGGAAAGAAGAGTGCAGAGCAGAGAGAGTTGACTGGCTTCCACCCCTGCCAGCAGATCATGAGAAACCATCAATCCCCCTTGGCGGCAGCACTTGACATTTAATAGGCTGATCCAAGTTCAAGGGAATGATGCTTCTCTGGAGGGGTTACTGAACTAAGGAGGTGGGTGAGTGAGGGAAGTAAAGATGCTCCAGGCCTCAGCTTACAACTGCTTGGAACACCGATGCTACTCCATATATATTTACCCAAGGGAACTGTATATTTCCCTCACCCCCAATCATCAAGATCTTCTTGATCTTCAAAATGCTATTTCATATTAAGTTGAGTCCAAGGCCTAAATACGAAATAGCGTTTTGGTGCATCATCATTGTACCCACCTTGATTCACTGTACCCTTTGATGAAGGATTGTCTTCAAAATGGTCTTAATATTATGTATGATACCGTTGGGGTATACTGGACAGTATTTTCCCTATGGACTGTTATTGCCCTTAGGAGGGCTTGTGCTTGTGGACTATTTTGGATTGTATTAACTTTAAGAATCACCATTCTGTGGTTTGTGTGACTCTATGATGTACATGACATTCTTTTGAAATGCTGTATGTGTTTACGTATTCAATATATTCCCATGAGTATTATTACTTGTCTTTAAAACTTTTTGGAAGAGTTTCCACCTTCCCACTTCCAGAGTCTCAGGCGTAGAATTTTCCAGTCTTGCTATCTGAGATACTTTATCTGGAGATGCTGGGGATTAAAGACGGGTCTTTCTGTATTCAGAGCATGCGCTCTGCCACTGAGTGACTGGCCTTTCCCCATTATATTAACCAAGTTGGCAGAATCAAGGCTCCTTAATTTTGCAGTGTTTATATGGCTTGCAGGAATGTGGTTCTTAACACAGAATGCTTACAATGATCCAAAGTGTGGAGAGGGGAATGCAAACCTTGCCCCTAAATCCAGGCTGGCTAATCATTAACCCTCAACCCCTACCCTTCTAAAAGGACGTGTTGACAACTTAAAGTTGAGAGTCAATGCTGAGGATCTTGCCACTTTTAGAAACAAAGCTCTAATGTAGTAAGGGCAGTTCCACAGCCTGTATGTGCAGAGACCACTGCTCCCCCTTGTCACAATCTCTGAAGAGTCAAACACCTCCCTTGCTTTCCTTTCCCCCCATGTGAACACTCCTGGTTACTCTTCTCATTTTTCCTCTTGAGCCCTTGCACAGTCTCCTACAATTAGCAGATTGTCCTGTTTGATCTGATCCCCTGGCATCTTGCCTTCTCGAAAGCGCTCCCCCCCCCCTTTTCTGCTACAACTCTTTCTGTCCCCAGATATTTTGAGTTCAATACTGGATGAATTAGCCAGTGTGTTCACATTCCCCCCCCCCTTTTGGCAAAAATGTGTTTCTGAGGCATTCTGCAAGCACCAGTAGTAGCACCAGGGAATACTTTTAAACATATATGCCAAACACTGTGAAAAATCCTATGGAGTCATAGCGAAGTGGATTTTTAAACAACTGTGCAAAAGTTAGTAGCCGGACAAAATGAGGGTAACAAGCTTTCCCATTCACACATGAAATTGCCAGTAACTTGTGTCACATGGAGGGCCTAAGAGAGAGAGAGGAAGTGTGCCAGCTCATAACAAAAGCATCATGATCTGTTCACCTAGACATGAATCGTACTTGCCAGAGGTGACCAGATGACTGGCTAATTAGAATACTGTTCAGAGATTCCCCCCCGGAGACCTGGGAATGGTCATTCTGTGAAGGAAATGGAGTCGAAGAACAACACATACACCAACATTTTCGAAGCTCTGTAAAACAAATTTCCCTGAGGCGGCTACATGATCTCTCTTGGCTTCTTCCCCAAGGAGAGTTCAGCCATTCGGTTCCTGATGCAGAAATTCCTACTGCCATCCCCGTGGTAGTAGAAAGATTCAAGTAACCTCAACAAGTAACAGTATAATGTCCTTTAATTAGGACTCCAGAACCTGCTGCCTGACATGGGCTGCTTTTTCCTGACTAATAACAGGGTTGGCTCTGTGTCTAGTCAAGAAAACAAGAGCTCTAAAGGACAAGTTTAACTGACTGTTTCCCTCAGGAACTATGGGTTGTGTTGTCTGGCAAACATGCCAAGAAGTGTGCATGTAAAGAAGCCTTTAGTCCAGTCAGAGAAATATACATTATAGGTTTTCAGTCCCCTCACAGAACTGTAATTCCCGGCACCTTGTGGGAAAACAAAGAGGGTTGAACTCTACAAATGTGCATTATGAGCAAACCTGCAAAAGGGAGAGGCCATGGTTTAGTGGTACAGCACCTGCTTTGCACACTGAAGGTCCCCAGTTCAGTCCCTACTTTACATGTAGAAGGTCCCTGCTGTTTCAAGGCCCAGCATCCCCCGTGGATCTCAGGTAGCAGATGTCTGTGGCAACCTTGTTTTGCCAGAGATCTGATGCCAATCAGAGCAGAAAATAGGTGGATGAACTGTCTTGACTGAAGGCAGCTTTAAATGTTCAGCCCTTTGTTAAAGAGAGATGTAACCCACAATCCTAGGTTTGCAACCATTTCCCCTTTTGGAAATCTTATTCTTCCAGCTATGCTGTGCTTTGGCAATTACACACATCCCTAAATGATAAACTTGTTTTTACTGCAACAGGCAGAACAAAGTCCAGATAGGAATCTCTGTGATGTCCATCTTCCTTTTCTCTCTTAGCCACACGCAAAGAGTGGAATCTTTAGGCATCCAGAGAGAGTCCCACCCACCCACTCACCTATGAAATTGTTCCACTCTGTGTCCAGTTCTCCTTGGTTGGCCAGACAGCCCCTCATGACATTGAAGCAGTAGTTATAGCACGGCTTTACGGCAACTAAACCACGGCAGTAGGGACAGTACATCATCTTCAGCAATGCTTGTACCCCCTGCGGCGTTGGGTTAACCTTTGAAAAGAGCAAAACAAGGAAGAGTGAGAAGAGAATCACACATATCCTGAATTAGTACTCAAATATATAAGGATCTCTGTGTATATAGTCCAAGTTTCTAGGTACTTCATGCATAAATGTATGATTTTCAGACATGTTTAAGTCATGTAGTAAACCAGAGACAATACACTATCTCAGCAGGACATTTCAGGAACACTCAGAGCTAGCAGCTTATCTGGATACTGAGCATCAGGCAAAATTACTCACATTGTAACTACAAATATATCCCTGAATATATGCTGCACGTGTCTACATAGAATACATAGTAATTGTCATTACTTAATGATGTACTTTTTTATACAATAAATTTTATTGATATACAAAGAATAGCTGACAAAAAAGTGTACAAACATAGTTTGGGAAAGAAAAACAGTAACAAATAGTGTTCGTATGCATAACAGTCAAGGATTACTAAGCGTAACTTGTGATCTTTGTAAATTACATATATAAAATATTAAGAAATAAAAGAACCTGTCTTTCATAACAATCTTCATGCTATACATTTTAGTAAAACTGTATCTTAAAAGAGATTTCACTCATTCCCAAAGAGAAAATATTTCATAGAAGATATTCTCTAAAAGTGTGCTCAGATGGAAATAAATTATCCCACCATTTTTTTCCATTTTTCCACTGGGCCTTCGTATGTCAAATTCCATGACCTCATTATTCCCTTGGTCGTGGCTTTGATCTGTTCTAGATCTCCTCATGCCTAAGGTGCCACGGAAATGACAATGGTGGTCGCAGACGGCACAAACTGGTATTTGGCACAAAACTGGCAATCCTGAGCAACTTTCAGGGTTGGTTTGCTTTTTAAACACCAGGTTTCTAGCTCTTAAGTATGCACACATTGCCTTGCAAGCTTGTGAGAAACCCCCCAAACCAGAGAGAGATTACAGTGTCACTGGGGGACAGAGTCCCACTGCCCTGCGTAGCTTTCCAAGTCTCTCCAAGACTAACCGGAGCAGAGCAAACATAGGTATACTCAGGGCTTTTTTTGTAGAAAAAGCCCAGCAGGAACTCATTAGCATAATAGGCCACACCCAACAACAGAAACTCATTAGCATATCCAGCCACACCCATGAGAGCATAGCTCATTAGCACATTAGGCCGCACCCACAAGTTACCAGAAGTGTGGTTATCCAGCCACACCCACCTTTTGCTTGTTATTCTGTTTACCTTGTTTGTTGTCAAAAACTAGGGCTTTTTTTGTAGCAGTAACTCCTTTGCATGTTAGGCCACACACCCCTAATGTAGCCAATCCTAATGAGTTTCTGCTATTGGGTGTGGCCTATTATGCTAATGAGTTCCTGCTCGGTGTGGTCAACTTGGGAGCCAGCCGGAACTCCGTTCCTGTGAGTTCCTGCCCAAAAATAGCCCTGGGTATACTTAGCAAACTGTCACTAATTTGTGGAACTCTATTGATTAATGCAGCTCTGGATGGTACTAAAGTGTACTTAGGAGTGGAGCTGCGAGAGCTGCACACCCCCATAATAGGGCAGATAGAGGCAAAAGGGAGATGGAGACGGTGCTGTTTGGACGTCCAGTGTGCATTCCAGGGCCAGTTTTCAAACCGCTGTAATGGTATCCTAGGAGAACAGGCAGCCCAGCAAGTAGGCAGCAAACAGCAAACCAGCAAACAGGCAAAAGGCAAAATGCATGGGTAACACAGCTGAGACCCTATGCAGCTGCCCAGTAAATTCCTGCCTAAACAATGATGCCTGTTTTGGTCATTGTGTTACACTGTATAACCAGCATGGTGTCGTGGTTAAGAGTGTCAGACTAGGATCTGGGAGACCCATGTCTGAAACCTCACTCTGCCATGGCTGGGTGCCCTTGGGCCAGTCACTCTCTCTCAGCCTAACCTACCTCACAGGGTTGCTGTGAGGAGAAAATGAAAGGAGAAAAATATAAGTCGCTTTGACCTCACTGGGGAGAAAGTTAGGGTATAAAATGAAGTAAATACCCAGCAAAGTTTGCCACTTGATTCCAACAAACTGTGGACTGAGCGTCCTCCTAAGCTCACACCTGAACCTTCTCCTCATCTTCAAGCCTTTCTTTGCAATCATGAGGACACGCATTCCAAAACAAGCCTGGAAAAGCTATGAATCCCACAAGGCTGATTTCCCCTGCCATCAAGAATCAAAGAGCAAGGTAGGACTTCTATGAAATGCAAGGTGCAGATCTTCCACTCAACCTCCATTGGAACCTGCCCAGGTGCTTGACAAAATAGTACAAGTACAAGTAAATTTATTGTATTAAGCCATTGGAACCTGCCCAGGTACTTGACAAAATAATACAAGTACAAGTAAATTTATTGTATTAAGCCATTGGCCATTACAAAATATGAAAGGCACCATAGCAATAATAAAAATTACCATTACCACCATTAGAATCAGATTAAAATTGACTACTAATCGTGCTAATAAAAGGCTAAAAGATTTAATCAGGTAACGAGCCCCTTAGATCTAATTTTGGAATGCCGCTAAAGCAAACAAAGAAACTCCATAAGATACATATGCATCATTACCTGAGAGCAGGAAT